GTCCGGCCCAGCAAAGGAGCAAACATCTTCGTCACCATTCTTTGGAAAGTCGCCCCGGCGTTCTTCAAACCAAAAGGCATGACTCGATAGCAGAAGAGTCCCCTTGGTGTAGTGAATGAGGTGATCTCTCGGTCCGGGCCATGCATGGCAATCTGATGGTAGCCGCGATAGGCATCCAAGAAACTGAGCCTGTTATGTCCAGCCGTTAAATCCACAAACTGGTCAATTATGGGCAGAGGGAAGCTGTCTTTCCGGCAGGCTCGGTTGACGGTCTTGTAATCCACACAGACTCACCACTTCCCATTTTTCTTGGGCACCACAACCGTGTTTGAGATCCACCGAGGGTAGTGCACTTCCTGAATGGCGCGTGCCTCAAGCAAGTTCTTTACTTCCTCTGCAACTACCTCGGCATGATGCAGCGCTGATCTCCTTATTCGCTGAATGGCCGGCTTGGCTCCGGGGAAGATGTTGAGGTGATTGCAAATAAAACTCGGATCGAGGCCGGGCATGTCGTAGGGCGATCATGCGAAGACTTCGATATTTGCCATCAAAAATTCCACCATCTCGATTCTTTCTTGGGAGGTGGGGCTTGAGCCGAGCAAGAAGAATTTGTCCGGATTCTCTGTATCAATTCGCACTTCCACCAATTCCTCAACGGCTTTGTCCTCGGCCTTAGTGCCCACATCATCAGGGACTCTCCCGTCTTCCGGTCCCTCAATCATTTGGACGAAACCCTTGGCAGCCCGGCTCCCGTTCACTGCCACGAAGCATTGCTTCGACATGACTTGATCCCCCAAAATCTCCTCAATTGCCCCCATAGCAGAGGGAAATCTCATTACCTGGTAGTAGGTTGACGCCACGGCTTGCATAGCGTGAAGCCATCCTCTTCCAAGGATCAGGTTATAAGTAGATGGCACCTGCAACACCCAGAACTCCACCTGCTTGACCATGGATCCCGCTTTGACCGATAGGATAATCTTTCCCAAAGGCCACTCTGGTTGTGAGTTGAAACCAACCAGTGGCGAAGTTGCCGGAGCCAAATCTGTATCTCGGAGCTTGAGCTGCTTGAATGCATCGTAATACATGATCTCGACCGAGCTTCCCTGATCGATCAAGATCCGTTTGACATCAAATTCTTTGACGCAGAGTGTAACCACTAGGGCATCGTTGTGCGGCGCCTGAATGCGCTCTAGGTCCCTGGAGGAGAAACTGATCACATCTTTCTCTTCGGTCTTCCCCCTCTTGATCGCAGGCTGAACCGACAAAACTTCCCTCATGTGTTCTGCCTTCTTAATCATACCGCGGAGCTCGCATACTCGCGCCGGTTCCACTATGCCGTGGATGACATTAACAACCCCTTGTGGAGGCGCATCACGGTCATCCGGTCCCCGGGGATCAACCGGAGCTTGATTTGCCTTCACGCCCCCATCAATGTAAAGGTCCAGGTGTCCGGCTGCGACTAGCTCTTCCAAGTGTTGTCTCAAAGGCAAACAGTCCTCTGTCCGGTGGCCTCGCTCCCAGTGAAACGTGCAACGGTACCGCGGATTGAAGCCTTTCTGTTCATCGCCCAACTTAGCAGGAAACCGGACATATTCCTCATCACGGATTTCACTAAGTATGCGATAGATTGGAATCTTAAAGACCGTGGTGATACCTGTCCTGGCCTTCAACCTTCTGTTTGCATCAGCTACGTCATCCCGGGGGTAGTCATCCCGGTCATTCCGACGTCCCCTACCCCAGTTTTTGTGATTTGAACCATGGTCTGATTCCTCAGCGCAGTCATTTGAACAGCCGAACTCTTGTCCGATCGTGTGCACTTTGCCAGTCGACCTCTTGTCTGCTGCTACCGGGGTTGCCTTCGCGGCAGATGCCAACGTATCATCCTCCACTCGAATGTGCTCATTGATGCGCTGCATTAGCTGGCCCATGGATGTCGGCTGGTGCATGGTAAGCGAGTCCCGCAGTCTATGACCGACCGGGAGACCACGCTTATATTGTGTGATTGCAAGGTTGACCGAGCAATCCAAGATCTCGTTGAAGGTCTCCCAATATCTGGAGTTGTATGCCTTCAATGTGTCGCTTGGTTCCATCTTGACACTCAGTAGGTGGTCAACTTCCTTCGGTGTTTTGGTGTTGGTTTTGAAGCGCGTCACAAAGGCTTCGGCCAACTGATGCCACCTTTCTATGCTCCCCTCCGACAACCTCTTAAACCATTGTAAGCCCAGCTCGCCCAAGCTTGACGGGAAGATTAGGCACATAAGGGCGTCATTTCGCCTGTGTCCGGCCATGACCTGTCGGAAGTGGCTTACATGCATATAAGGATCGGTTTTACCATCATAGAGCGTGAACTTTAGCTGGTGGAACCCTGCCGGAAGTGGTGTTGTTTCTATCTCCAGGGAGAAAGGAATGGCGCTCAGCCTAACCAAGTCTGTGTCTAAAGGGAGAGGTGCAACTAGGCGGGGTGGAGGCATTCCGACCTCTTCACTGGGGTGAACCCCATAGGACAACTGCTGGAACGCCGGCACCCTCTGAGCCTCCCGCCGGCGAGCCCGTTCCTTCAAGACTGCCCGCAAATCCTCTAAATGAGCAGAATAAGAATACCTCGACGTCGTCGCCGGACGTAAGGGTCGGTAAGTGCTGTCTTGCGCGCTGGACTTCGCTTCGTGCGCGTCGGAATCTCCAACCTTGTAACTTCTGGTGATTGAGATGGACGGAGTACGCCGCTGGCTCTGGCTGCCTGAACGGCGTGGTTGGGTGCGCTCACTGTGGTCGCCCACTCCAGCTACACCCTTTCCTTGCCGCTTAAGATCCTCCATCTCCGCCGCCATTCGCCGGATGACGGCGTCTTGGTCCCTTAGCTTGTGTTCCAATTGTCTGGCGTGCGATTCTCTCCGCCGCCGATGACCGTCTGGACTCCATGAATGACCAAAGCTTCTTCCGCGCTTATCCCGCGCATCTCTTAAATGTCCTCCTAGAGAAGTCTCCAGGTCCGCCATCGAAGGGATGATGGTGGGATGTCTTTTTCTCCATCTGCCTGACTCCGGGGTAACTCCGTCGATTGCAGACAACGGAATCTCGTCGTTGTTCGCCATGGACGGCGATCAGATGAGCCTGGAAGAAAAAGTTTTGTCTGTCAAGATTCCCACAGACGGCGCCAATTGTGCAGGGAGCAAATATTCAGGCAAGCCCGTACTCCTTTCTTCCAAGCTCCAGTCCGCCTAATCGACCTACGAGCACAACAGCGGTGAGCTGCCCGGCGGTGTGTGGCCGGAAAACCCCTCCGACGATCAAATTAGACACACACACAGGGATAGAGAGAGAAAGAGAGGACTGAGTTGTGTTTAGTGTTTATCTCACCAAAAAATGTGTCATCCCCAGTATGGGGGGTGCAAACATGCATATATACCTTCTGCGCCCCAAATCTACTCCCAGTGATCTCTTGACACGTGGTGCTGCTATCCCATCTGTCAGCACATATCTTGCCTAACATCACCTAACCCAACTGCCAGCCCACTCTACTGGGAGCTCGGCAGCCGGGCTGCAGCATCTCGGCTGTTAACGGCCATGGCGCGCTTCACGCCTAAGTGCTCCAATAACCGAGCTCCTTTCCAGCCGTGCTTGACTGCATTCCGGCGAAGCCAAGCTTGAGATTGGTCATACCGATCAACCAAAGGACTCCCTGCCGAGCTTCAGGCACGAACCTTCATGCCGAGCTATGGATGCGTGCCTTCCAACCGAGCAACGCATAAACCGTGAAACCCTTACTTGACCGGCCTCCGTGCCGACAAGGTTAACTAGCTCGGTTCCACACGCCCTTTGCCATTATCAAGAAAAAAATCACTTCTGGGTAGACCCAGGATGCCACGGCCCAACTTGTGTTTGGCCCACAAGTTGTCCGGTATTCTCCCTGCCGAGCTTCAGGCACGAACCTTCATGCCGAGCTATGGATGCGTGCCTTCCAACCGAGCAACGCATAAACCGTGAAACCCTTACTTGACCGGCCTCCGTGCCGACAAGGTTAACTAGCTCGGTTCCACATGCCCTTTGACATTACCGAGCAAAAAATCACTTCTGGGTAGACCTAGGATGCCACGGCCCAACTTGTGTTTGGCCCACAAGTTGTCCGGTATTGCTATGGCCCAGTCCAGATCATATTTCTCCCTCTCAGGCTCCATGGCAACAACTCTTTGCTGACTAACGACTCATTTGGAAAATACCTATCTTAGTTAGTTTTTTAATTTTTTATAAAAAAAAATATATATATATGTAAAAAAATAAAAAGAGTAATATGATATTTTTTTTTACTTTTTTATTATTATTTTAGTCTATTAAAAAATGAGCCATAAAACCCTCTTGGGTTAAAAGGTTCCAATGAACCCCATTTTAATTATTAAAATAGATAATGAATGTTAAAATTAGTAAATAAAAAATTACAATTTAAAAATTATTGATTAATATTTAAATATTTAAAAAATTAAGGATAAATTACAAATATATGTTTGATTTATTTAAAATATGAATTTACTTAAAATACGAATAGTTTCTTATAATTTGAAAACTTACACATGCCTCGTTGTAGAATTTTTTATTAAATAAAATTAATTAAAAAAATAAAATTCTTAACTACAAACCAATATTACTTAAATTATTAATTAAAATATATTTATAACAATCCTAAAAATTATTAATTGATTTGATAATTTATTAATAAAATATATCATTTATTATGAAATTAAAAACTAAAAGGTCTAATTTTTAAAATCACATAGATTTGAGAATTTATTAATAAAATATATCATTTATTATGAAATTAAAAACTAAAAAGTCTAATTTTTAAAATCACATAAGAAATTCCTATTTTAAGTAAAATTCAAAACTTATTTATAATTTATTTAAAAAATAAATAGTGAAAGGATAAGGACCATAATTTACCCTACTAAAAAATTTCACTTTAAAATTTTCCCTAAACCCACCAGTGTAATACATTAATTTAAACTCACAGAAAGAGGCCTTTGCAAGAACAAACTGAAAAACTCTCTGAGCTCCAGTGTCAGACCCATTGCCAACATTATGAACCCAAGCGCGAAGCTATACGAAGTTGGTCCTCTCTTCACAAACCACGAAAAAGTGGATGGTCTCAAGCACGCTACAATCCCTCCAACGGTCACATACACAGGGTACAGGCTTGCTGCAGTGGACAACATGTTTTCCCATCTGGGTTTTGATGTAGCAACTGGTGGTTGGTCAGAATTTTTGTGAACAGATCTGATGGTGGGAAGGTTTGAGAGCTTTGGTGGGGTAGAAATGGTGGTGGGTTTGGTGGGTTTGAAAAGGGAAATTGTTTGGAGAGGTTGTGGGTATGAAGGGAAGGGAGAGACGGAGATAGAGAGTGACATTTTTGTAAAGATGATGTGGAACTAATTCATAGTCTCTTCATTTTCTTTTCTTTTACTTTTTGAGGTTTTGATGTTTGCCAGAAAAGAAAAGAAAAGAAAAGAAAAGAAAATCTTGATGGGTAAGCTTGGCGCCAGCGGCACCACCAGACCGGTGAGTCCATGTCCATGGATGGGCCATTGAAATTTGGCTGGATGATCTTAACCTTTCAATCGAAGGGTTCAGTGGACCTTAGGTGTGACAGATTTGTTTTATTTCTAGTTATTTGTTTTTATTTTTATTTTTTCCACAATGAAAATATCTGATTACAATATCTTTCGTTTCAGTTTTTTAAATTTATTTTTGGAAAATTTACCCATAAGTCCTAGTTTTTGAAACGTTGAACCATTTAGTCCTAAAAGTTTTCTTATGCTCCATTTAAAATATTTTTAAAAAAATTTTAAACATACTTAACATAAATGAATTTAAAAAGTATAATATTAGTAAAAAAAAATTAAAAATTCATTAAATACCAAACATACAAAAAATATATTAAAATTTAATATATTCTTTTGTATTTTTGTGTATTTATTAATTTTTTAAAAAAAATTATAAATATTTTAATATTTAAATACATTTAAGTAAGATACATCTAAAAAAAGTATAAAAAAAAATTGCTTAAAATTGAAAAATATTCACTAAAAAGGAAAAAACACGAAAAATAAAAAATTTAATTTTCAAAAAATTGATTCAAAAAATTAAAACCAAACGTACAAAGGCCTCATTTGGAAACAAGTTGTTTTAATAATTTTTTGAATTTTTGGTTAAAATATGAGGTAAAAAAATTAGTATGTTTAAAATGACTTTTTGATTTTTTATGAAAAGATGTGTAAAAAGTAGAAAAAAAAAAAGAAATATTTGAATTTTTTATATAAGTTATAGACTTTTTAAATTTTTTAATAATTTTTTAACTTCTAAATTAAAACTATTGCACGGCAAACGAGACCTAAATACTGTCTTAGATAAGGACATGAATTTATATCATTGCCACAACGTGAAGAGTGCTAACTTGAAAAAATAAATAAAGAGAAAATGTCAAAGTAGTACTATTTTTTTAATTAAAATCTTCATTTGAGTTTTATTAATGAGAAATTTTATGTTACACACTTCTTTTAGTTATGATCTTATGTATTATCAATTATAACATATTATAATATTAGTTATGATATTATTTGATTATGATTTGAGAATGGGTAAATTACACTAATACTCCCTGAGATTTATGTTTATTATACTTTCTCCCTTACATTTGAGAAATTACACTGACCCCCCATTGTCAGTAGAGATGGCAATTTGAACCTGGTCCGACGGGGACCTGACTCCCCGACCTTGATTTGAGTAGTTTTTCCCGAAAAACATCCCCAACGGGGAGGGGATGGTATTCAAAAATAATCTCCGATCAACTTTGGGCCGGGGACGGGGATATGTGTTCCGGTGCCGTCTCCGGCCCCGTTTGTCCCTGAAGTGAAATTACTATTTTACCCATATATATATATAAACCAAACCAAACCCTCATATCCCTTCTCTCTGCCTCAGACCACGCCTCTTATCTCTCTCTCCCTCACTCAGATCCTCATATCCCTTCTATTTGCCTCAGACCATGCCTCTCATCTCTCTCTCCCTCACTCAGATTTATATCTCTCATTCTCTTCCTTCTTATCATCATCATCATCTAGAACAAATCTAAACAGATCCGTCGATCCTCCACCACCACCACCACATTTGCTGCCATGGCTTCCTCTTCGACTCCATAATGCCGCCACCTCACTCTTACATCCGCTGAAATAGTGGCCGTAACACATTACCCGTCCTCCGCCACAGATTCCACCATCACTCATCGCTTCCTCCGTCGCAACACCAGTTAATTTGTGAGAATAACTTAGATCTATATATGTGTGATGATGATTGTTAATGATGATGATAGATACATATATTTATATATATACGTGTGTGTGTGTGTAATGAACAATTTCAGATCTCTTTTTTTTTTTTTTTTTAAGTTGTTGTTGATGATGATGATAGATATATATATGTATATATATATGTGTGTGTGTGTGAGAGAGAGAGAGGGAGAGAGAGAAAGAGAGATAAAATTAACAATTTCATTTTTTTTTTTTTTTTTAGCCATGTTCAACAATCATGAATGAATAATCTCGTTCAACAGCAAAGTATGCTTTCATCAATGAATAATCACATTTTCATCAATGAATAAAATTTTTTGTTGTTGTTTTTGTTTAAAAAAAAAAAAAAAAACAGGTCAAGGATTTTCGAGGTCAGGGAAACCCGATCTCCGTTAGGGGCACGGAGGCGGGGGGAGTGATAGCGTCCCCATTGGGGATCAAAGGCGGGGACAGGGTTTTTTTTACCTTCAGGGATCGGGGATGGAGAGTGTAATCCCCAGCCCTATCCCGGCCCGTTGCCATTCCTACTTGTCAGTGTAATTATTTGACGGTGTTAACTTTTAAGTTAAAATGACATATTTACCCTTAACCTTTACATATACTTTAAAGGATAAATTACATTGACACCCTCCGAGGTTTCAATTTAATACGGATCCTACTTGACATTTAAAAAAAAAAAAAACTAATTTAATAAAAATAAATATAAAAAAATACATTTAATTTGTAAAAAATTATTTCTAACCACTCGAAAGATAAAAATTATATAAAAATGATAATTATTTTTTATTTTTTATTTCTTAACCAAATTAATTTTTAATTTTTAAAAAAAATTCTAAAAACCAAACCATACATAGCCTAAGAATCTTTTGATAAGTCATTTCTTACGTTGATAACTTATTTAATTATTTGTTAATTGTACGGCATTTTTACCATCTGAGGCTTGCTTGGTAACAATTTCGTTTTTAGTTTTCAATTTATATTTACAAAAATTTTAAAAAATGTCATAAAAACTTGTTTGATAATTTTTTTTGGTTTATAAATAGTTGTCTCAGTTTATAAATTTAAAAAAAAACGTAAATTTAAAAAATGATTTTAAGTTGGTTTTTAAACAAAAATTTAAAAATTTGACTAACAAATTTTTTTTTCAAATAATTTTTTTCCAATTAATTTTTTTTTTCAATGATTTTTTTTTTCCAACTAATACTAACCGAGGGGACAATTGGTAATGATACTTTAAACCTTAGGGAGAGGATTGTAATTTCTAAAATGTGAGGGGTGTCAATGTAATTTACCTAGTGATGGCAAAATTGGTATTTGAAAAAATTAAATTGCTGACATCAGCAAAATCTATTAGTTGACTTAACAGTTAACTAACTGAGGGAGCAATCTGTAATGAAACTTTAAATCTCAGGGAGAAGGATGTAATTTCCAAAATGTGAGGGCAAAACTATAATAAATATAAACCTCAGAGGGTGTCAATGTAATTTACCCTTTAAGAATTGTTTGATTATTTATAACTTATTTTTTATTTATTTTTAGTTATAACTTTGGGTTACATACGGCACATGCCCCTATTAATACTATGTTGAGAGAGTTGATTCATGTGTTATTAGAACACAACGAAAATTTCATTGAAAAAATAGGACTTGTTTGATATTTCTCAAGTAAATTACACAAATTTTTTTAAGATTTAGAAAAAATACACAATAAGTCTTACAAATTTGATATAATTACACTAATTTTTCTTTTCTTAAGGATAAAGAAATAAAAAATAATATAGATAGTATGAAAATACAAAGATATGCAAAGTAAAATATACATTTTAATATAAAAGAGATGATAATATTATTTTTTCATTCATACAACTATTGAATTTCTGATTAAAAGGGGCCCAAATATTATATGAATTAAAATATTAAAAAAACCTAATGTAATTATATCAAATTTACAAGATTTATTATATTTTCTTCAAATATTAAGAAGGATTAATGTAATTTACCGTAAATAAAAACTACAAAAGTAATTATATTAATCAACCGTCTCTAACAAATTCTTTAAAAGAAATTTGTTCACATTTGTAATTTATCTCAACTTATTTTACTCTATTCAATAAGGTAGTTACCATAATAGTTATTTTAATAAAATTATTCCAAACTAACTATATTTGGAGAGCTTTTGGATAATCTTTTAAACAATTTGTATGTAAAAAGGTAAAATAATTCATATAACTATTGATTTTTCTTATGAAAATAAGGCTAAATATTATATGAATTAAAATTTTAAGAAAACCTAGTGTAATTATATCACATTTATAGGACTTATTATATTTTCTTCAAATATTAAGAGAAACTAATGTAATAGGAAATTTAGTCTAACATCCCTCTTCAATTTTTAGTAATGGGAGAGGTCCACAATATTTTTTTTGTAGCCTAGGGTCCCTCACCATTTATGAGTATGGATGAAGTAATCAGTATTTCAGCACCGTTCTCCTTGAGCATTGAATTGAATTCCTCAACAATCTTGCAGTTCCTTCACATCTCAGTAATGAATTCGGCCAAAACCTTGTCCCTAAACCCTAAGTGGGACTCAAGCTTTGTACAAACCTTGGTGACTAATGAGAGCTACTCTAGTTTCTTCAAGCCATCTTCCTTGGTCTCCGAAGCTATTACTATATACACAATACATATATATGTGTATGTATGACATATATATATATATATATATAGAGAGAGAGAGAGAGCGCAATGGGGTTGACAATGTTGTTTGTGCATATATCTATAATATTTGTACGTGAAGCTTCGATTTTTCATCCGATCTCCGAATCTCACCAATTTGTTGCGCTGAAGGTTTTCACACCAGGTCATAGATCATTTGGAAGATGGTAATGAAGAAGAGTGTGGTTGTTTAAAGCGACGTTGCAGTAATAGATGTTTGTTACCACTGAAAGACAAGAGAGCAAGAGAAAATTAGCTAAATTAACCAAACCATAGAAATTTCAAAACAAATTTCTTTGTTTGCTCAAAACGCAGAGAAAATCAAAAAAATTAAGCAAACCAGAGAAATTTTGGTCTATAGAAATTTCAAAACACAGAGAAATTTCGCTTTTGGATTGAAATGTTAAGGGACTCCAACCACTATAAAAATATTGTATGTTCTTTATCCTATAAAATCTTAATATCAGGGACCTTAAAAAATTCTCTAATGTAATTTACCGTAAATAAAAACT